TCTGAATGAACAATAATATGATATTGTTTCATAGATATATAATTAAAAAAAATATTATTTGGATTCGTGTAAATGATAATGTTGAATATCGATCAACTTCCATGTTTCTTCTTGGTATTAGGTATTTGATTTTTTTTTCTCTTTTTTTATAAGATATCATCACAATTTTATATATATATATATATACATATATATATATATATATATATATATATATATATATATTTTGTTTTTATCCTGCTATTGGAATATGTCAATAAATCAAATTCATTTGTAATACATACTTTATCGAACATAATTATTTACAATTTATTTTCAATCATATTTAAATTTGTCAATATCAACAAATTATTTACTTTCAATTATTATATTTAAATTTTGTCGACATCGACGAAATTTTTTTCATTTTCAATTATATTTAAAAAAAAATTCATCAATAGCAAATAATTTTTCAATTATATTGAAATTTTGTCGAAGTCGACAGCGTTTTTCCATTTTCAATTATATTTGAAAAAATTCATCGGTAGCAAACAATTTTTCAATTATATTTAAATTTTGTCGACATGGACAAATTTTTTAATTTTCAATTATATTTAAAAAATTCTTCAATAGCAAACAATTTTAACAATTACAATTTAAATTTTGTCGACGTCGACGAATTTTTCTCATTTTCAATTACATTTAAAAAAATTCATCAATGGCAAACAATTTTTCAATTATATTTAAATTTTGTCGAGACGGACAAATTTTTTCATTTTCGATTATATTTAAAAAAAAAAATTCATCAATAGCAAACAATTTTAATAATTACATTTTAAATTTATCAATGTCGACAAATTTTTTTCAATTTCAATTATATTTAAATTTATCAATATTATACCATAATCTATTATTTGCTAGTACGTATACAAATGTGATTGCTTTCAATCTTTCTTTTCCTTTTTTTTTTTATTTTTTCTTTTTTCTTTTTCTATATCAAAAACAGACAGTGATAAAGAGATAGATAGATAGATAGATATAGAGAGAAAGATAGAAATAGATAGATAGAGAGACAGACAGAGAGAGAAAGAGAAAGAGAGAGAGAGAGAGAGAGAGAGAATATGTAAGAATTGAGTGAAATTTATTAATTCGATAGAATCGATTAGAATGAAACCGGGGTAAAACAACGTGATCGAATCAAGAATGGGGCGCGTGTGGATTGCAAATGAACGAGAGCGATCGGTCTCTCCCGTTCACTCAATTGCGTCCGACTAAACTCGCTCTTTCTCGATTTGAATGCCGGGTAATTGTCCGATTTATTTATTCCGAGGAAGAATGGACGCGGTCGAAGGAAGGAAAGACCGAGGGAGGACGAACGTTGATCAGCCTCGGTGTTGATTTAATTACCGAGGGATTAATTGGCATGCCTACTGACGTTAAATTTCCCTCCTCCTCCTCCTCCTCCTCCTCCTCTCCCATCTGCCCCCACCCTCATCCTCTTCTTCCTTCCCCCTTGCCACAACTCATCACCCTTTCTTTCCTGTCACTCTGTCACTTTTTTCTCGTTTTCGTTCTGTTTTTTATTTTTTTTTCCTTTTTTCTTTTTGTCACCAACTTATCAATCCTCATTAATATGTATCTTTTCTCTCTTTTTTATTTTTTTATTTTTTATTCTTCTTTTTCTTTTTTTCTTTTTTTTTTTATTTAATTAATTCATTATCATTCGGACAAATATCAGCCTATGAATCTGACGATTTTGCGACTTTCATTAACAAAATCTTTTTTTTTTCTTTTATATTTTTCATTTATTTATTTATTTATTTATTTATTTATTTATTTATTATTATTATTATTATTATTTTATTTTTCGAAGCATTTCGAAGAAAGGAACTCAAAACAGTCCTGTCGTCTTCTTCTTCTTCTTTTTCTTTTCCTTCTTTTCTTTCTTGTTATCAAATTGACGTATAAATTTGACCATGCGAATTTGCTTCTTCATTTTTTGTTAATTAAACGAAAAAAAAGAGGGGGAAAAAAAAATTCTTTCATAACTTTCGTGAATCATAAGTACAATTTTATAATTTCGTACAAGGCCTACACATTCAAGGTGGAATGAATGTTTTTTTAGATAAACTAAAATAAATTCCTAGGATGTAATATTATAAGTTGAAGAGAAAAAAGAAACTAAAGAAAGAACGTGAATATAATAATTAGCTTGAATAATTAACACGAAAAGTGTTAATAGTTTATACCATTCAACGTGGTATAAACTATCGAAGAAAAAAAAGCAAAAAAAAAAAAAAGCAAAAAAAAAAAAAAAAAAAAACTCGTGATTAATATCTAATCAAAATATATTTTCACATAAGCGTAAATCGTCCAAAATTTTCTCGATATCATTGACATTCATACTTTGATCTTACAAGAATAATCTTGGACAACGTTAAGTACAAAAAAAAAAAAAAGAAAAAAAAAAAAAAAGAAAAAAAATGAAAGAAAGAAAGAAGGAGACGGATGAAGAACAAAGAAGAGAAAAAGAGAAAAAGAAAAAAAATCACAAAAAAAAAGAAGAAAACAAAAAACAAAAAAAAAAAAAAGAAAAAAAGAAAGAAGAGAAACAATTCGAAGATGCAGACAGAATAAAAGACTGGAGGAGCTTGGTTGGTTGGATAATTTTCACGAGAAAGGGAGAGAAATTCGCGAGGGCAAAAAGGGTCCATCGTAGGTCATAGTAGTAGTAGTAGTAGTAGTAGTAGTAGTAGTAGTAGTAGTAGTAATAGTAGTAGTAGTAATAGTAGTAGTAGTAGTAGACGAACGTATATCGCGGCGATGTTATCCGCAAACACGCGGGTTCGGCCAATTTATCCCATGGGATGAGGCCGACGTAGCTATGGGAGTTTGGTATGGGGCAAGCTTGTCCAGCGGAATGAATTCAACGCGCAGCCCCCGTGCGGTCGAACTATCTCCCTCTCTCTCTCTCTTTCTCTCTCACTTTATTTATCTCTATCTTTATCTCTCTCCCTCTTACTTCCTCTTCTATTCTCGTCTCGTTTCTCTCTTTAACTAACTAACACAAACGCAAACCCGTTACCGTTTCATCCTTTCTCTTAGATCTATCGAAATTCGATCTTTACTATTTCATTCAAGATTTCCCGAATAGAATCAAAATGATCTTATAAATCATCGATGGAATGCAATCATATTAATTATTCTTGTTAAATTATGTATCACTTCGTATACGTATATATCACTGTCGATATCGATGATTTTAATTCATTTTCATTATTAACACGTTAATTACACACTCGTTATTTTTGTTCTTTTTTTTTTTTTTTTATAATGGATCGATATATTTCAATCGATCGATCTCTGTCTATATCGATGATTTTAACTCGTTTCGTTATTAACTCGTTAATTACATAATCGTTTTTTTTCTTTTCTTTTCTTTTCTTTTTTTTTTTTTTTTTTTTATAATGGATCGATACATTTCAATCGATCGATTTATCGACTTTCTTTTAGAATCGATAATATTAGAATCTCGAGTTTTCTACTTAAACGTTCGACACTTCGATAGATCGTTTCTTGTACTTTAAGTTTTATAATCGTATATTATTATATAACGAAGTTTGAAAATCTTTTTCTTCTTTTTTTTTTTTTTTTCAAAATTCATCTGCGTCGATCTTACCGTACCGCATTCAACGTTTATATTTCAATCGAAATAAATCGAAATTCGTTCGTATCCATCGTTTAATTAATGGCATTTTTTTTTTTTTGGAATTGCAATTAATCGTAAGGAACGATTCAAGATAAAAATTGTCTAACAGGAATTATTCAAAAAAAAAAAAAAAAAAAAAAAAAAAAAAAAAAAAAAAAAAGAAATAAATAAATAAAAAAAAAAAAAAATAAATCAAAATAAAAAAGAAAAGAAGAAGAAAAAAAGAAACGTCGGATCTCGAACCTCGAGTTACGAAATTATTTTCGAGATTTATCGTCAAAAAAAAAAAAAAAGAAGAAAAAAAAAATCTAAGAAGACAATTTGATAACAAAATTTGATATATATAAAAAAAAAAAAAAATAATCAATGAAATCGTTCCTTCATCGACGGAAAAAAAAACCTCCATAGAATTTATCTTCTCAGTATTTAACATCAAACGCGAATCATTCGATCGCAAAACTTTCTATCGATTCGATAATAATAATCGTGGCATCGACACAAACGAGGAAGTAGAAAGTTAAAACAAAAACAAAAAAAAAGAGAAAAAAAAAAAGAAAAAAAAAAAAAAAGAAAAAGAAATAGAAATAGAAAAAGAAAAGAAAAGGAAAAAAAAAATTTCAAACTCTTCCTCCTCAAATCCCATTACCCCATTAAAATAATTTTAAATCTAATTCCGCTTATATACGTATTCACGTAACGTTTACGTGTCGAGTAGCAAATATACGTATCTACGTAAGAGAGCCGAAGGCAAGGAAGCAAGCGAGCAAACAGGCAGGACGCAACCAAGCAGGCCTGATTGCAAACAGGGCACACACAGAGATTTATTGACCTGTCAATAGTGGAACCCCGAAAACGGCGAATTTACAACACCGCAGGTGTTAAGTTCCACCGTGCGTGTAATAACGGCGCGTCTGATCGTAGGGGCCCCAAACCACGGTAAACCACACTGTAATTATATTTCCGAAGGTATGAGAAGGGCCCAGGAACGGACAACAGCACCTTTGTCATTATCAGCTGAACCATTCTGCTCGTAACTCAATGAAAGCCGATAACCGTTCCCATTCATCTATCTGTCTATCCACTCAACCGGTTGACTTGTTTTCTCGTAAATGACAATTAAAGAAAAAAAAAGAAAAAAAAAAAAAAAAGAAAAAAGAATAAGAGAAAGAGAAAAAAAAATTCTTTCCTAACGAAAATCAACGTTGGAAAAAAAAAAAAGAAAATTTAATTCCTATGCTTTTCTTCGAAATATTTTTTCCTCTTTGTTTTTACACCACTCACCGCGCGATAAAATAAACAGATCTGATCTTACCTTTAATCCGGTAAGACGTGGTTCCTCGGCAGCCAATTTCGCAAGTTCGTGATAATCTCCTTGAGCAGCTTTCACCAACCATTCTCGTGATTTTCCATCCAATTGCTTTGGAAATAGAAAGGCGAGTCAAACGATGCAGATCGATATAGATCGTGTCTTCGATCCATGCAAACCGTACGTACGTATGTACATACTTTCAAACTCGAATCTTTGGAAAATTAATATATTTAGAAAGGACGACGATCTCGAGGATCGAGAAAGTCTAAAGAGAAACTTTTTCGTTGTTATTACATGAACGGACAGATCGAAGACGTTAATTTTATGGATATAAATTTATTTAACTCACCCAGGCAACCGAAGCACTGTCCTCTTCGTCAGCACCCTATGGAGAAGAACAAAAAAAAAAAACAAACAAAAGAAGATAAAAAATTAAACTGAGAAAAAAATTACAAAGGAAGAAAATTCCTCAATTATGTATATATAAATATATATATATATGAAAAGAAAAAAAAAATTATTTTCAAATTGAACAATCCGATTATATATTTTGTATAAATTGTACAAATTGATAAATGATGATTGTCCATTAAATATAAGAATCTTTTCATTCTTCTTATCTTTTTCTTTCTTTTTTTTTTTCTTTTTTCTTTTTTTTGCTTGAAACACGAAAAACAAACGAGAAGAAAAATAAAAGGTAGTGACAAAGCAAGAAACAAGAAAAAATAAAACAATTAATTGTTTGTTGAGAAAAGAATTATTTTCAATTCATACGTTGTATCATTCTGTTAATAAAAAAATTATTAAACAAATACGAAATCTTGTCACTCTCTTTCTTTTTCAATTATTCGTTTAAACGCCATCGAAAAATGAATAAAAAGTAGAAAAAGAAGAAGAAGAAGAAGAAAGGATATACAAAAAAAAAAAAGAAAAAGAAAAAGAAAGTAAAGAAAGAGACGATCGATTGGTTCAAAAAAAGAAAAAAAAAATATAATCTATTTCGATTCGAAACCTGAGTCGTATCATAACGAATTATAAATATCTATAAACATCTATAAATATCTAATATAAATAATAAATATATAAATATATAAATATATAAATGATAAATAACTATAATAATAAATAAAAAAAAAAAAAAATGGCTAACCAAACGAAATCTTTTTTAATACTATTCTTTTCTCTTTCTCGTATACGATATTTGGCGTTAACGCCATTACACGGATAATTAGTGATAAGAAAAAAAAAAAAAAAAAAAAAAAAAAAAAAAAAAAAAAAAAAAAAAAAAAAAAAAAGACAAATAAATAAAAATAAAACAGAACAAAAAAACAATAAAGATAAAAATTATTCCGATTGGTTCAAAGAATCAATTTCAATTCGAATAACGCACCGTGTATCATGCTAAAAAAAAAAAAAAAAAAAAAAAAACAAAGAAGAGAAAAAAAGAAAAAAAATTAATTCGATACAAAATCTTGTCATTTTTTCTTTTCTCTCTCTCTCTCTCTCTCTCTCTCTCTCTTTCTCTTTTTCTTTCTCGTATCTACTTAACACCGATAGAAAAGAAAAGTGAGAAACGGGACAATAAGAAAATCCGTAAAAACCAATGACTAGCAACATAATAAAAGGTACGTGCTTCAACCATCGAATTGACATAATATGAATCCAATAATTGATTCTCCGATGCAAAATTTCGAATGCAAGGTTGCAAATGCTTGCATAACTACACATCGATGACGATGCATCGCGTCAAACGCAGCCTTTTTCTCTCTTCTAGGTTACTATAATTCAACAATTTACGTGCGTAAAAGCTGTGAGAAGCCACACGTAGCATGAACGTGCTCAAACCATCGAATTGTTATATACGAATCTAATAATTTATTCTATGAGGCAAAACTTCCCAATGCTTGTTGCTAATGCTTATGTAATCACTTTCAATGACAATGCACTCATCTGAATGATCTTTTTATTATTGTTTTCTCTATCTCTCTCTCTCTTTTTTCTTTTTTCTTTTCTTTTTTTTTTTTGTTTTGTCCTTCTCTACGATTTTACGATTCTATGATCCAGAGATTTACGAAAAAAAAACAAAAAAAAAAAAAGAAATAATAATGATAATTAATTTTTTTTTCGGAGTAATTTTATTAATAATGAAAATTAATTAATTATAAATATGGTGTATATATATATATATATATATATATATTTTTTTTTTTCTTATCCGTTAGATAATTTTTATCTTTTTCTTTTTATCTTTATTCATTACTTTCAATTAATTATAATATGTATATTATTTGTACTTTTTTTTTTTTTATAAAAATTATTTTCAAAAAATTTAATTATTTTTCAGAAATTCAATTCACTATAAATATGATATATATTGTATATATACACATACACGCATACACATCTTTTTTTTATCTGTTATATAATTACTATCTTCTCCTTTTTATCTTTATACATTATTTTCAATTAATTATAATATATATTTATACATGTATATATTACAATTAATCAAATAATATATGTATATTATTATATTGTTCGTATGGAAATTATTTTTTTTTTGCATATTTATGTAATTATTAATATCGGCATTTAAAGAATTAGATAAACCATTAAATATATATATATATATATATATATATATATATATATATATATATATATATCGTAATAATGTTTGTATGATAAAACATATCATGACTATGATCATAAATCAATCTCGCTTACTTTCATTTACGTATTTCGTTATTTTAAAAACAATATTTATTTAAACGTAATACAATTATATAATTGCAATTTATAGAGCATATTGTTTATCATTTAAAATCAAAAAAGTTGACTAGGATAAAAATCAAATATAAATATCTATAAAACAACCTTTGCAAGAAACATCATCTACGTCTTCTATAAAATAAAATAATTATAATATCAACATTTGTTTAAATATAACATATTATATATATATATATATATATAACTGTAATTTATATTGTATAATTGATAGATACAATAAAAAAAAAAAAATAGAAAAGAATCAAACGAATTATTATACACCATTTTATTATCGATTCAATAAAACATATCGTTCAAACATTACGTTCAAATCTGACATAATCATGTAACTGCAATTAATAGCGTATAATTGACAGATTTAGAAAAAAGAAAAAAAAAAAAAAAAAAAAAAAAAAGAAAAAAAAAGGAAAAAGAAAAAAAAGAGTAGAAAAGAAAGTAAAGAAAAGAAAAAAAAAATCAAACAAATTATTACACATCACATTATATTCAATTCAATAAAACATATCAGTCGAACACCAATCGTAAAATCCCTCGTATCTCCTTTAATCATTGAATCATTGAAAAGTCGAATCTGTCGGATGAGCACAACATTGCTAAACCTTGATCCCATACAATGTCATCGTACATTCGTGGTGCATCGTGTGCGCTGGTTATATCTTATATGTGTGACGTGGTGTATGGTATATAGAGAAAGACAGAAGAGGAGGAATATACGAGAGGAAAAAGAGAAACTCGCAAGAGAGAGAGAGAGAGAGAGAGAGAGAGAGAGAGAGAGAGAGAGAGAGAGAGAGAGAGAGAGAGTAAAATGATGGGAGGTTGGTAGGGGGTAAGGGGGCAAAAGGATTTCTGATCCCAGAAACGTTAAACGACTACTCATCCCTGTTAAACCGTTTGTATTTTCACTCGTCACGGCTACGTCGGACGTTCGAGGTGCTCATATCGACACTCCATACGACCAGAATCGATCGTGACTCCTCGTAAATTACATCGGCATCGGGTAGAAAATGGATGGGACGTTAGAATTTTGCCGAATCATCATTAGCTCCGAAGAGGTAGGAAGAACTCGATATATCTCTATCGATCGAACAAAACTACGTAGCGCGTGTCCTTAAGTGAAATCTCTCGAATCGTTTTGCGGTTGTCCCTTCTTGACGTTGATCGTCATTCTGAATCCCATAAAATCAAATTAATTCTTGATAACTGAAAGATACGAGATTGGTCGTTGAATTTTTTTGTTTTTTTCTTTTCTTTTCTTTTCTTTTATTATTATTTTTGTTTTTTTGCTTTCTTCTAGGAATATAACGAAACCCATTACGATTGGTAATACCATAACTAGTGATGGTAACAAAAAAAAAAAAAAAAAAAATAAAAAAGAAAGAAAGAAAGAAAAGAAAAAGAAAACGAAAAGAAAATTATAATGGAAGTTTGAATGAGTGTGGTTTTGTTCGCGACTAATAATGTATCGTATCATCGTCGTCGTACTCATGATAACGTATCAATGAGAACCACTGACCCCCCGTAGCGTCAGGTGGTGCATCGAGGTGCGTTCCCAGCTTTCGTGTGCTATGCCCTTGCTTCTCCTCCTCCTCCTCCTCCTCCTCCTCCTACTCTTTCTTCTCCTCCTTTACCTCCTAAACCTCCTCCTCATCCTATTTCTCTTTCCTTTTCTCACGTTGATACGTAAGTGTATATATATATATATATATTTTTTTTTTTTTTTTTTTCGTACGTATGTATGTACGTATATATTTACTTATACGTATACATAAATAATATCTCGAATTAAAATAATATTTATGATATTTATCTTTGTTGAACGTAACGATAATGTTTTGATCGTTCGTTGAATTTTAATATTTTTGTTTGTTTCGTTTTGGTAAGAAAATAAAAATTAAAAAAAAAAAAAAAAAAAAAAAGAATTGTTTTTGTTAATTCAAAGATAAATAAATAATGTTGCGTCACATGAGAAATACATGTAATCTAATAATAATCGTCGATGTAAAAAGTATTAGGTATATATTTATATATATATATAAAATTTTCTACTTTTTTTTTTTAATCTTTTTTCTTCTCCTACATTGATAAATATCACTGATACTGATTCATAGTATATAAGTATATATGTAGACATCAAATTAAATTGATTATTATGACGTCAAATTTTGAAGAATTTAACGAGACCATTTTCATTGGTTGGATTTAATTCTTTTTTTGAAATAAAATTTTTTTAAGATATACAAACATATGTATATAAGTTTGTATAATTTTTAATATATATATATATATATATATATATATATATATATATATATAATAATTATTTTATCTATTAGATGGAAAAAAAATTATTTGTTGATATAAGATATAATGTAAAAATATATATGAATTATAGTTACTTTAATATTGATGTATGTATATAATAATGTAAATTATACTTAATGAAGTATAATGAATTTTTTGTTTTTGTTTTTTTTTTCTAAAATCTAATTATATCTATTATAATATAGTTATATTATACTTAGATATAATTTATAATTAATGTTTCTATATAATATAGTTACAGTTATAGTTGACTAGTATAAGTTATAATTA